CAATACCATTATGCCACTATTTGCTGGATTTCCCCTCCCCATAAAATTTATTTTAGAAAAGTGCGCATTAAGCATTTATATAGCAACTTTCTGGAAAACAGCACAAAATCAGTAAGTGCAACTGAAAGCATGTTTTCATAATTTTGTACCCAGAACGTCTGGCGTTTTTCGGCCCTGCCCCTGGCTTCCGGTAACATAACTGAGTTTTATAGCTGAGTTTGGATATTTCATAAGTGTGTACGTAATGCGGGAAAAACTTGCAGTTTGGTTATGAAATTTTGTATGTTAACTATAACATTTGGTTTGGGAACGTTTCTAATTGTCTTTCTTTCAAATTTCACTTTGAAGACATCACAAAATTTATAATAATGGTCAAAAATGGCAATAATAATGGCGAACAAGGCCATTTTCTTAAAAAGCATGCGGGCGGGGATGCGAAACTAATATGCAGCAAATAGTGGCCTAATGACAACGTGGTATATTAGCAATCGTATGAATTTAATACAATCGTATGAATTTAATGGGTTTTATGTTTGGGTAGAGTTCTGCTGAAGCCAGTTTGAAGTTGCACTTGTTGCGGCTTGAAATGCAGCCGTTGTATCAAGACGTGAAAATCTGTGATTTGGCGTTGTAAACAAAGCGAGGACAATGTTTAAATTAATTATTCCTATATTGCAATTATTGAATTCTTTTTAATTATTTATTGCATTTGTAGCCGTTGCTGTCCTAAATTGTAAGGTGTCTATTTAAAAATCGGGGAACCATGTAAGGTAAGCATGGTTAAAAATTTTTCGAGTATGCGGACGTATATGCATGCACATGCATGGTTTACGCTACTCATACGTTTCTCTCATACGCAATAGTGTGACAGGACCTTAACCGAGATCAGCATGTAATTGCAGTTCTTAAAAAACATGAAAATATTAAACATGTATAAAATATTTGTTTCATATTATAGTGGCAAAATAAATCTGCACTATATCTATGATGAAAAAAAAGTGCTCCTTCAAGGCATTCGTATAATTTGGCACACATATATCCTTTCCCGCACTTTTCTTATACATTTTTGTTTATATATACCATGCATGTAGTATTTAATACCGATAAACGTAAAATTTCAAGCATATATAATTGCTGGCATACTTATAACTTACTCTCTATCCAAAAAGAGCCATATTTGAAACAGTAAACAGTTTTGTATGTTTTTAACGCGAAAAAGTTAAGTGAATGCATTAACAAATTATAGCTTATAATTAGTCGAATTAGCGAAAATTGACTATATTCATGACGCGCTTGTCAAGCGAAAAACACACTGCCCAAAGATTTTATTATTTATTCTAGTAGATGTGTCATAATACTCAGTAGCTGCAATAGATTGGATACCTGATACCGTTGCAATTTTGAGAAAAAATAATTTACCGCCAGCATACTAACACGAATATTTAATCAGCTGTCCGAAAGACGTTTTTTAAAAATACACAATATTTTGTTTGCTTCAAGTGATCAGGATAATTTTTAGTTTAGGTTTATGCCTAGGCAGGAAATAATAAAATATGTAAGTTTCAAGAAGTTAGAATAAAAGCGCGAGATGAACTGTGAGATATAAAAAGCTCAAATATCACTTGCGTAATTAACGTTTTAACTTGTTTTCGAACGCGTCCGAAAATAATTGCGAAAAAATTTTTAAAACTGACTACAACTTCCAAGTCAATGTTTTTTGTTCATTTTATGAATGACTTCTTCCACACAGAAAGTTTGAAGGAAATCTGTAATCTTAAGAAATTCGAGTGGTCGGTTTTTACACGGACTGCCTCTTAACAGTCGCTCATAAAAACATTCACGTGATTAGAATCTTCAATGTTTGTCAAGAACAACAACACTTAATTGTTGTTTCCCATATGTACGATAATAAGTAACAAAACTTTGTGTGGTCTGAACATGTTGGGCTAGAGACCTACTGGAAACGTTAACAGGCTTTTTAATGAGAATAGAGAATTTTTATCTGCAACTGTTCACCCTTAGTTGCAACCGACGGTATTTGACAGCATAAAATTGCCTGTGGCTGTGATAACTGATATAAATAAAATACAGTCTGGTTATACTGACTTGGGCGTGCCATGACAAACTCTTTATTGGAAAATTGTAAAGAAATAGTCGAACATGGAGGGTTGAATATCATACTTCAACTTGTATAGCTACAGTATCATTGGTACATAGTGTTGTGAAGACAAGCCTTTGTTTACCTTTCGCTTCAGCAGTCTTTTTTTTTCCATGCTTCTCTACGCTTTCCCAGGCGAGCTTCTCCTTCCTCAGCAATCTCCTCGAGCAAACGTTGTCGTCTTCGCTCCCTACTTTTCGCTAGATGCTCGGCTTTCTTGTCGTTTCCTTGCCGCTCTTCATTTGGCTACATATCTTTTCAATTGGTATTTGATACCGTAATTGTTTTATTAAACTTTTTATAGAACAAATTGCTCTGAAAGCTGTCAAAGTTTTTTTGCCAACGTACAAAATACTGTAGTGAAAAAAGCAAATTATTTTCATGAAGTATCTGTCAGTTGAAGTCTTCATTTGTCATACAACAACAAATTTTAAATTTGACCAATCAGTGTTCGCTATCCATGACAGTCCGCCATATTTTTTAGATCAGTGAGGATGACCACCCACTCAAGATCGTCGTTCGTTGGTCACGCCCGCGATATTTGATGAAATTTAGACTTGGCTGGTGCTTTCGTTTCCTCGGGTGTAAATAGCCGGGGGGAATTAGTACCCTCACACGGCACTTTGCGCCGTCGGCTCAGGGATTAAGTTCATATAAATAACTTTGCATTTGAAATCTGAAAAGGTTTCTAGAAGGTCTCTAGTCAAAGACCATTAATAAATTATTGTTACTATTCTAATTTGCTCTACATAGGCTGACAAAAGGAAATAATTATTCAAAACAGTCGGTCACTAATTTAAATCCCATATTAAAATAGCCTTACCTGTTTAGTTTCTCTGGTGGAAATCACTCTCTCAACATCGTACATTTCCCTGGCAACTCTATTCACTTTTTTTCTTTTTCTGTTGTATGATATCAGCTGTGCTTAACTCATTCAATTCCTTATAATTGATTCGACGTTACCTTGTTGTTCTTCCTGAAACGGCCACCATTTCGAAATCACACTTGAAGTGCACATGCTCAAACAGATTTGGGGAATAACGCATGCCTAATGTATCGCGGCAGCAAAATGTCTTAGATTTCTGGTAATGCCAATCAAATTTCTTGTAACATCAGATTTTTCACCTTTGGCACCATAATGAGAACGATCTATTACTGAAACTGTCGTAAATATGCCGCGTTTGTTGAGTACTTTTTCTGTTTAAATATTTAACAATATATAATTATACAATGTGGTCGTTAAAATGTTAGGAGGTTTAAATTGTACTTCTAAGATTTCAAGTCTATGTGTAGTTAAACATAAGTATATGAGAATTACCCTACCTTCCAAAGTTGACATTATCTTTCTCACATCTTTACTAGACTTATTCACATAATACACTCACTTCAGTGTGATTACTTGCGCTTGGCCTTGGGTACTCTCCTCGTTTGTTGTAGCTACGGGTGTTATATTGCTGATCTTCCCGACATCTTATGCAATACCGCAAAGGATCTCTTGGGGGAGCCCGAATGAAGCCATATACCCATGTCGTCACACTTTACGTCTTCTTCCATCTTCATCTTCGTGTTGTTGATCAGGAATGTTACATTATGCGCTATGTTAATTGGCGTCATGACACAGAGTCTGCCACTTTCTTGCTTATCCAGCAAAATATGTACCAAACGTTCAGCGGTATATGCTTTCTTGTTCCATGAGAATACTGGAGTAAGGGCATCGTCATGGAAGAGAGTTGACTCTCTTGATGGTTAATCATTGCAAATTCGTTGTCTGAACTACATTCGCTGTTTAAATTAATAATATTTGAAAATCCATCAAACATACATATAATTAACAATTAGACAACAAAGCCGAGTTGTCTATGAGCGAATAGTGAACGAGGCGAAGCCGAGCTGACTATTCGTTCAGAGACAACGAAGCTGAGTTGTCTCTGACGGAATTTTTCATTTGATTTTTATGTAAAATAATAACTTTTTAATGAAATGAGCGTTTAAATGCTTCCTTTGGCGACATTTCGCCTCAGCTTTGTTGACAACTACTCAGTGTTGCGAACTCCCAAGAATGACTTGAAAAATACAACTTGTGAGTTTTAAAAAAGTTTAAAAACATGTCATAAAACAGGAGACCGTTATAGAAGCAAAGTTTAGTTAATTAAAACTTATTTAAAAGAAGGAAACAAAGCTTAAAAAGTAAAAAATTTCGAACACAAAATGGCTTCCCGAATTGTTACAAAATTAGTAAATATAGTTTACGTTAAAAAGCCGAATAAAAATGCACACACATGCAAAAGAATCCGATTATCCGAATGTCGTTGAAATCTTTAAAATATCTGGAACATAAAGAGGCAAACCATTTGCATAATCTAGTATACATAGACAATAGTTTAGCCGGATTAAAGTTTAATCGAAAAACTCGACTTAAAAAGGTTCGAAAAGGCGAAAAACAAACTCGGCCAAAATCTCAACATTTAAAAAAAAACTCTTTAAAATGACAGCTAAATACATGAACTCGCACTTATACAAGCACACACTAAAGAGGTTGAGAAAATAGGGGTAAATAGCTACAAAGACAAAGTATTGTTGAATTTCAACGATTCTGCTTGGAATATTAGGAAAATTGTGCATATATTTTAAAAAATCGCCTGTTACTTTCATGTTCAAAACTACGAGCAAACTTGAGAAAACTTTACCGCATTTGTCAGCAGTTTCCAAGAGTCTTTGTTTGTGTGTAATCCAGAACCAAAATTAGGCCATTTTGATAAATGTTTCCCTTTAAATGCAGCTTTTAATACTTAAAAACGGCCATTCACTCTCACCCCCTTCGCCGCTTGCTACTAGTAGGCTATCACTAATAGCCTACTAGTAGCGTAGCCAATCAGAACGCACGATTCATGATAGCCTATTAGTAGGTTTATACTAATATATATATATATTCATCAAACAAGACATGTATGTATAGAGATAGAGTAGTTTTGTATATTGCTTATTTGTGCTTTGCAAAGAACTGCTTCTAGTGCAGTGTTTTTGCTCATCCGAAGCTTTTTCACACTAAGCGATGATTCAAGATCTTCACTCCTTATTATACAGAGAACATCCGATGCTGCTGGTCATGAATTTGGCTTGAAATTTGCACACAAATTGAAAATTTTGTCTATCTGCCATCACATGGTCACTCACAAGACTTCATATTTTGCATCATGATCAGGAAGAATTTGTTCTTGCATAAAATGTTTCATGATGTCCAAATTAAACGCAACACCCAAGCTTTCCGACTCCTTGCGATACAGAGTATTAAGGTTAGGATTGATCATAGCATATGCCAAAATCCCCAAGTACCAGATATCTGCCATTTTCAAGCCGTCCTGGCTTGCATTGGTTAACTGACGTGTATGGATTTCAGGGGCCATATAAACTGGTGTACCACGGCATATATCATCCATCCTTGAACACAGGACAGATTGAGTTTGAGTGTCCAAAGACCTGCTTAATCCAAAGTCTGTGACCTTGCCGACAATTGGACACTTTGCGTACATTTCAGCAACAAATGTTTTATCCTTGCTATAACAGTAGTGCTGATTGGAAACTAACACATTGCTTGGTTTGAAATCCCTGTGGACAATGTTGTGCCTGTGTAGATAATCCAAGCCAGCCACAGTATCTTTAATGCACACCAGTAAAATATCGGCAAATGCATTGAAATTGAATTCGCCATCAACATAGTAGAAAAAATCGTCCAGATTACACACCACCTTCTCGCTGTCAAATGGACTAAAATCCCTGCATATTCCATCATTAAACCATCGTGATGGTTCCAGTCAAAAGACGGTAAGCCATGACATATTTCGGTCGCTTTACAAGACTTGGAACTCGGAAGCCATTGAATAGACATGACATAGCAACGTCGAAAAATAAAACTATTTTCCCGATTTTTATTTTATTTTCTCTTTAGTTAATATCTGCCAAGACATTGCCATGGAAACTACTAACAGATGCTGTAATGTAGTTTTTCCACAATGCACCATTCAAATTATCTTGATTTTTACCTAAAATTTCCTTGAAATTTTCTTGATTAACCGAGGATCAGTGGGATCAGCCAGCCAAGCATCCAAACACTTCCACTTTTATAGTGAACTGCCGGCTATATAGTAACTATAATTACATATAAAACATTTTGTTTGCGCTAGTTTGTACCGAGCTTGCTGTTAGCATATGCGGTAAAGGCACTGCATGTGGAATGTGAAACTTAGTCTGGGTCGGGATGTGTTTTGTCTGACATAGCATTTTTTTCTTAAAATTTTTTCAACTTTTTTCGGCCTTTTCTTTATCTCAAAAGGCAGGTTAGGTGTTAGGGAAGGGTTTGGGGGTAGGGATCGGTTTATTCAACTTTAACTATAGTCACTATAATATAGCCACCAGTTTACTAAATAGCCGGCTGTATAGACATATTTCTTCTGTTTAGGAATAATTTAACATGCCAACTAGCACAAGAGTAGTATAGAGTCATCGATATTGTCTCGGTTCACACACTTCATGAATATTTCATAATTTAGACTCAGAGTTGCAAAAAAGCTGCGGGCTTGCGGGCATTGCCCGTGAGGAAGGTTTACTATAGGCGAGGTCAGTGAGGAAGGTTTAGTGGTCAACAGTCGCTAACACCAAAAAAGTGAAACAAGTAAATCATAGTTGAATAGGCAGTTGAGGCTGACAAGTTCTGGTGGTACTATTGTGGTGGTACTATTGTGGTGGTATTATTGTGATATAGTACCTATAACATATGTATTGACTATGACATTGGAGAATACTGAGAACACAATAACTGAAAATATTCTGTAAAAATAAAAAGGAATAAGTGTCAAATATCAGAGGCACCTTAAACCACTGCACCGCAAATAACAGGAGGCTATTACTAAGAGCTACTCATCATGGTTACAATACAAAATTCACCTTGAACATTATATTATTCAAAGATTATTTGATTACATGATTCCAATGTTTTTAGAGAATAATTAATAGTTATAAATTAAATGAACCATCATTGCTGTAGCAGCTAAACATTGTAATAATTATATAAATATGGCCAAGGTGAATTGTTGTAAACTCGCACAAAAATTATAAATAAAGCTGAAGAAGAAATTTTAGCATGTGTGATGTGAGTTGAGTCTGACGAAAATAATACAGCTTGGTTAACTGAGGTGTGTAGCTGTCATACATATTTAATACAGATTGACAAAATGTATCGAGGTCATATTAATCAAAATCATTGTTTACATACCTGATACCTACACCGTCAATTCCCACAATCTATAAGATAACCATAAGTATATTGCAGGATTGGCAGCGTCTCTGTTATAGAGATTAATATATTGCCATTGCCATTGATTTTCAACCATTCCAAACATTGCCATTGATTATAAACTGCCATGCAGGGCACTATACTGCATGGTTTAAATTTAGCACTTTGCTTCAGAAACAAGTGAGAGCATTCGCTGTCTTGCTGACTGTGTAATTGGGTGATTGGGTCACACATTTAAAGACCTAAACACTCTCAAATGCCTTTCAAAACCACAAGTACCGAAACATCAAGATCAAATACCACCAGACCACCTCTGGAAAGTTGTTGCCATGGTTTTACTGCTGACCTCTATATATGTGTACAGCGTAGTTACTAAAACATGGAACGAGCCACAACGACCTGCCACGACCCCACAACGACCCCAAAATTACCTTCAGTTGCAATTTTGCATGACAATAAATAATATAAGTTATTGTTTGTGGATACACCACATATTTTATTATTGCAAAGCTTTCGATCCTAATCTCGATCCTAATCTTGATCTTCACGCTAACCGGTGGGATTTAAAACGCGGAGAATAAATGAGCTAGCAAGGGTTAAATGTAAGAGCATCGAGACACACAAATAGAGGAATACCTTTGTTCATAACATTCGGGACATACACCACTGTACTAATAAATATATTTACTTTCAGTATAATATGAAAACAATATGAACACGTTTCAGCCAGCAAAAATAAATGCAAAAATTAAATGAAGCTTGCGCAGACGGCAGAACAACACGAAGACAGACGATGTTCATAATGACTACAGAATTTATCACATAGTGCAAAAGAAATTAAAGATCTGTTTTTAACGACTGAAATATTTGGCTGAAAAATATTGATAATTATTTGGAGTTGTACACACCATACACACCTTTTCCGTCCGACATGTTTAATAATCAACACATGTGATCAAAATTGGCGGGAAAATGCAAGACTTCCACTTGCGCATGCAGAGATTTTCCCTATGGATTTCCCTAGCTACGCTTCCCTACGCCCTGATTTTCTCTATAACAGGAATAGCTGTGGAAGTACTGGTGGCCAATGATTGGGGCACGGAATGTTGTTGTTGTTGGATTATTGTGAACTTGTGGATCGTTGTGAGTCGTTGTGGCTGGTTTTGGGTCGTCGTGGGTCATTTTAGGGTCGTTGTGGGTCGTTCCATGTTTTAGTAACTACAATGTGTACAGGCATAAAATCATGCATCATATGTATGGGATGTAGATATAGTAGGTAAGGACTATCCAATTTGTCCAAAGTATAAATGTATTACTGCAAATTATATATTAGAATCATGTACTGCATTTAACGACATGTCTCTTTCAAACTTTATGCTTTCAGAATCAGTTAAGTTTATATACTCTAATTATTTAGTAACACATGTAGCCTGCTCGCAGCCTCATTTTCGTGGGCAGCCTGTTTAATCAATTCTAGATAACTGCAAACGCTTTTAGAAAACAGTTCAAACTTTGACACATTGCACTGATTAATTAATATATAAACATTTTGTCTAAAACTATAGATAAGTAATGTATTCTGGTTCTTTGGGGAATAAACAAATTTTATATGGGCGACATATTTCGAAACTACAGAAAACCAAATCTCGAGTGAAGAGTACTAATTGAACAGATTTAGCATCTTGTAGGGTATAAATTACAAAATAATGAAACGCTATAAAAATTTGCTTGGGCATAGCTCAAGCACACTCAGGACATCCACAGGCAGCCCAATCTCAGAATGAATGATCAGGTGTTGCGGGTTTTTAACGGTTTTTATAAACAAATTTATAGTCAACCAAAACTATTTTAAAAACATTCTTAAATTAGTCAAATAAATACATTTTAACAATAAAATATAGTTGACATGATAGTATAATACCTTTGCATTCTTTTAATTACTCCATGAGCTCATTTAGAGCGGTTGATGTAATATTTTCTGTGGCCTACATTGTGTGTGCTCATCTATATATAATATAACAGTAAAAGACTAATCACTGGCGCCACGACCGCATCGCCTTCAAAGTCAAATATCTCCGCTAAAACTTCTCGTACGCCAAAACAAATTCGATTACATCTTTTCACAAAGATTTCTCATTCTAAATAATATGGTTTGATTGTAGCTTGGGCAAATTTAGCGACGAACGGAACCAAAATCTCCTCAAATTCGGGTACTGTTCAAAATACTTAGGGCTGCTCGGGCACGATCGTGGACGTGACGTAATCAATACATACTGACAATAACGCCTTACCTCCTTACGTGGGGTGGGACAGCATAAAGAGACAAACTATTGTCGAATTTGATATGCTGTCTCACCCCGGGTAAAGGCGTTATTGTCAGTATGTATTATTATGTCACATCCACGATCGTCTCCCCGAGCAGCCCTAAGTATTTTGAACAGTATCCGAATTTGAGGAGATTTTGGTTCCGTTCGTCGCTAAATTTGCCCAAGCTACGATCAAACCATATTATTTAGAAAGAGAAATCTTTGTGAAAAGATGTAATCGAATTTGTTTTAGCGGAGATATTTGACTTTGAAGGCGATGCGGTCGTGGCGCCAGTGATTAGCCTTTTACTGTTATATTATATATAGATGAGCACGCCCAATGTAGGCCACAGAAAATATTACATCAACGGCTCTAAATGAGCTCATGGAGTAATTAAAAGAATGCAAAGGTATTATACTACATATTATATACATACATATTATATATATACATATTATACTACATAAAGTAGATGATATTACATATACAACGGCAAAGTCAATCGCTGATGGTTTTAATACCTTTTTTGTGAGTGTTGGTAATAAACTCGCAGAGTGCTTTTCGCATTGTTCTGAAGAAAGTGGTAGTCTTGGAACATGTAATAGTACTTTCACAATTGCTCCAGTAACAAGTGAGTTTGTATCCAAGTGCATTATTCAGCTAAAATCAAATAAAGCCACTGGATTAGATAAGATCAGTGCTCGTATGATCAAAGATGCAGTGTCGGTAATCACACCTTCTCTTACCAAACTATTTAATCTATCAATTCAGGAAAAAGTTTTCCCAAACAATTGGAAATCTGCTAGAATAATTCCCATTTATAAATCAGGAGATAAGCAAAATCCGTCAAATTATAGACCAATATCAATTTTACCAACCATCAGCAAGATACTAGAGAAAGCTATTCATAAACAGTTATTTGCATTCCTTGATGACAATGATTTACTATCAACGAGTCAGTTTGGATTTCGTCTTAATTCCAACACTGTACTGGCTACAGCACAATTTACTGACAAGGTTTTACAATCAATGGATGCTGGGGAGCTTACTGGAACTGTTTTTATAGACTTAGCAAAGGCATTCGACACCGTAAACCATGGAATCCTGTTATGTAAGCTACATCTACTTGGTGCTGATGACCATGCTTGTGAATGGTTTAAATCTTTTCTCTCCGAACGTTCACAGGTAACAGTCTATAATAACGCCCAGTCTGAAACTGCAAAGATATCAATAGGAGTTGCCCAAGGGTCCATCCTTGGGCCATTATTGTTTGTGATATATGTTAATGATTTGCCGAATGTCTTGGAATCCTGTCACGTCACCCTGTTTGCTGACGATACAGTTTTATACTGTTCGTCCAAATGTCCAAAGCTATTGCAACAAAAACTGAACTCTGATTTAACAAGAGTCTGCGATTGGCTGAAAACGAATCATCTTACTATTAATATTAAGAAATCCAAATTTATGCTTATCGGTAGTGGTCCACGCTTATCAAGATTGTCCACGTCCTTAGTAACATCCGTTGGAGATGCACCCCTGGAAGAAGTGGAGTCATACAAGTATCTTGGCGTAATGATAAGTAATAACTTGACATGGCACGATCACATCGAATTTATTAAATCTAAGATTAATAAGAAGCTGGGACTACTAAAGCGTATTAAGAACTATTTACCGTTACATAGTAGAATATTATTTTATAATTCTTATATTTTGCCATCTTTTGACTATGCTGACACAGTATGGGGAAACAGAGGGAATGAAACCCTTATGGCAGATTTACAAATCTTACAGAATAAGGTAGCACGTATAATTTTGGACCTGGATTATGGATCGTCAGCCAGTTCTGCTTTGAAGAAGTTGGCTTGGAAAGATCTAAAGACCAGGAGGATTGTTAACCGTTTGATATTGATTTATAAATGTAAGAATAATCTTTTCTCTTATAATTTTGAAATCACATATCATCAGGATATGCATGCTTATAACACTAGGTCTAAGTGTAACATACGTAAATCAGCGGCGAGACATAAATGGGGACATTGGACAACGGTCAATTTTGCCAGCAATGACTGGAATGAATTGCCCCAAGAAATTCGTGAAGCAAAAGACCTTCAAACTTTTAAAGTCTACTTAAATAGCTTTATTGATACCTAGTTTTAATTATCCTTATATATTTAGCCTAGTTTCTAAATAGCATTACTATACTTATATTTAATTAACACTATAAAGTTTTTTGTAGTTTAGCAGGACCCTACTGAAAAACACATTATTGTGACGTAGGCTTCCTGATTAAAAATTGCTTGAATTGAATTGAATTGAATACTATCATGTCAACTATATTTTATTGTTAAAATGTATTTATTTGACTAATTTAAGAATGTTTTTAAAATAGTTTTGGTTGACTATAAATTTGTTTATAAAAACCGTTAAAAAACCGCAACACCTGATAATTCATTCTGAGATTGGGCCGCCTGTGGGACATCTAGTTTACAATGGAGAACTTGAACTTCAGAACTTGTTGCTCAAGTCCAAAAACTCTGTAACCCAAAAACACAGTGTTTGTACCTCTTTGAAGTTTTTAAATAGCTCAAATATGTTTGGAAAAACACGAAGTAAAAAAATTACTAATTAAAATATAAACAAAGGATGAAAAAGGTGGGAAAATTTTAAAGTATTTGAGGTGTTTTCAATTCTGACTTTGACAGCCGGCATTTTCAAACGCAGCGTGCGGTGACAAAACAAAAGGCTTTTTATTTCGCTATTAAGAGCACTGAAAGTCGTAAGAATTTTAACTGAAATTCCTTTTGTTTCTGTTGAGAAAACAACGAATTTGTGGCTAAAACGTTGTGCGCGCCAATGTAGGTTGCTGTAAAATGTCAGACAGGCGGTTTCTTTTGAAATCTGACTCTAGTTTGAAATCTGACTCTAGCTTGAAATAAGTCCTTTTCAAGGACCAATTGTATAAAAATATAATATGTATGCTCAAATAAAATGAATAATCTAATATTTAGGCATTTTAGATTGCTATAAAAGAGTGAAATAAAGTATTTCATCTTTGGTTGTTTGTCAGGCGAGAGTAAACACATTGGTGACACTTTGTTGCGCATGCAGTTTTCAAAAGATAAACTGCTAAAAATATAGCTTTTATTTCACCAAATAGCAAAGTATCTTGCAGATATTATTAAAAGAGCTCAAGCAAAGTAATTCCATGATAAATAAGTGAACAATGAGACCAAAAAAGCGACTAAATTACAATTTTGGAAAGTACATAAATTTAATGGCTTCCCGCAAAAGAAGCCATTTCAGAGGAGAACAGCATTTTGTAAACTACTCTCCTGACCTATTTTAAACTTTTCCTTCAGGTAATCGATGAGTACTTCTTAGAAAATGAGCGTACATTAGTTTTATGATGTGCTTTATTGATTTAAAATTTTTATGGGGATATATGAAGCAATAAAGTGTA